TTTATAACTGCCCTCAAGACTATTGCATTCAACCTGCTCTATATCATCTTAAACTTAACCCCACAAACCATTAAATGTAATCTAACAGAGCTGAGCGATAGGCTACAATGTCATCAGCATTATGTTGAGTGATGCCTCTTACTTGTATCTGTGAAAGAGCAACTGAACGGACCATATAGACACCAGAACCATCCCATTGACCTCAGTCACTGTAAACGCCCACTGCACACGGTCTATATAGTCAAAGAACTTATCCGGCAGCGGTGGGCTGCTCTCCTTGGGTGGTACTCTCTCATGAACCACTGTGATCATAACCGTGGTCAAAACCAGGTTCAAAACGGCATAAAACAAAGCGATGAACGTCTTCCACCATTCCGGTGGCAAACGGTTGCCCTTTCCTTCAGGTACAGAGATTTTGACGTAGTCTCGATGTCTGACCAGGGCGTTCCTCAAGCCGTTCCGCTTCGCTTCTTCAGCAGCGTGGCTGTGGACGGGGCAAGATGTGCCAGGGGACGGCGTCCCATCTGTGTTTGTGGGGTCCTTGTTTCCTTGGTGGTCTGACGATGCCATGAGTACCCACTAATGACTGACTTCCTGCCAAGACTCTCTCCTGTAAGGCACTGTAGGTTACTCTCCTCTGTGGCGATAATGAAAGGCCTGCGTTTTTAGCTCTCATATGATGTGGCTGGAACAGTCTTATAAAAAAATGAAAGCAGAAGTACATTAAATGAAGTACATTATAGACATATATGACCTTTAAAAGTGCTCCATCATCTAACATGCACATTAATCATCAATGATCAATAGAGGCTATTTTCAACCATGAATTTCACAGGCCAAACATTTAAAACCAAATCTGCTATATATAATTGACATGCTTCTTCACATTAAAACAAAAGAGTATGCCAAAGAAATGCACATACTGTATTATGTACGAATTTTACATTTTAAATGAATACTTAACTGATCAAAAGTGACAGTTAAGTAATTCATGTCACCAAAAAATATATATTTCAAATAAATGCTGTTTTTTTAAACTTTCTATTCATAAAAGAAAAAATTGTTTCCACAAAAATATTAAGCAGCACAACTGTTTTCAACATTGATATTAATAAGAAATGTATCTTGAGCAGCAAAACAGCATATTAGAAGGATTTCTGAAGGATCATGTGACACTGAAGACTGGAGTAATGATGCTGAAAATTCAGCTTTGATCACAGGAATAAATTACACGTTAAAACATATTAAAATGATAAATAGATAAAACTGTTATAATAAATAGTAAACTGAATCACAATGAAAAACTGAACACAAAAAAATTGGAATTCAAAATGTTCAGGATTATTATTTGATAAATTAAGTGGTTAGCTATTTAGTTTCCCAATTTGTAAAGCCAAGTATCGGTATGATTTTAATACACTTTTTATATTCCTGCAAGTCTGACGTTTGGCTAGAAATCGTTAATCTATATATGAAACATCCTCTGACCCTCTTTTATGTGCGCAACGCAATCAAACAAAAGCAAAGCATACCATTTAAAAGCCAAAATATCTGACACAAGTGCAAACTGCCATCTAGAGAAAAGCCACATAGGGAAAAAAGCATCCATGTTCAGGTCTGAGTCCAGCAGTGACTTCTCAACCCAGAAACAAGAGCATTTCAGGAACAGCCTGTTTATCTGAAAGCTTTCTGTTCTGAGAAGATCTCTGCTCCATCACACCCAAAGTGCATCTCAATAACCCTCATTACGGCGACATACAATATTTACAAACAGTAAACAGAGCTTCAGGACAGACGCATACAGGATGAATGATGGATTGTACAAATCGATTTCCTCCAAATCAATTTAGGCTGAAATATAATTACATTGGAAATGAGTTCTTGTTACAAATCTGCTCCGAATGAACATTGGATTGTACACAACACTGCTTCACTGTACTGCAACAAGAGAAAAAATATAATTATCTCTAATAACTCACTTTTTGTACTACTACACTATGTGGATGCAACTAAATTACAGATCAAAACAGACTAAAAGAAGCAAACCGTTCTCACAAAAAGCTTTAAAGAGTGATTTCGCCAATTCAAAATCACTTGCCTGTTGTGTCCCGCAGCTCTATCGGTCCTACACTCCTGCTCTGACAATCTCTCTGAAACTTCTCTTCATCCCTCCACGTTCAGAGGGGCATGTTTTCCCAGTCTCCACCCTGCGCTCTAATGGTGATGCTTGTGGTGGAGACCTGGCAGGGGAAAATCTCTTCCACATGCTCCCAGAGACAGTAAATGGATGGCTTGGCTGGCTCTGCTCCGCATGTCCTCTGCCCTGCCTCTGTGCTATTTCCAGCCTTGACTCCTGCCTCCAGACCAAGCCTGTATTTTTCTCCCAGGGAGCAGCGGTGCCCGGTCGCAAACAAATTGGTAATGATATGGTTTCAAGGCCTGTTGAGCGTCCCCCCTCCCAGCTCGTGCGGAGGTTAAATTCAGCATCAAAGGAAAGGACAGAAAAAAACCGAAGAGACCCCGCCTCACACTTAAAGAGATGACAGAAAGGCTTTTCTCCTCGTGCTCAGAGTTGATTATATTATCCCTTTCAGGCACACTCATGCACTTGTGTTTTTGAACTTGCATACTTTACTGAATTTGTAGTATTCCATACTTGTCGTTTACATAAAAGCATGTGCTAAATAAATAATGTGAATGAATACACAATTGCATACTACACTAACATACACTTCCTGGAAAATTTTGTGGATGTGGATTCAAAGCCAATCTTTAGAAATTACCGTTTTAAATTTAACCACTGTAAAAAGTGGCATTTGCTACCTTACGGAGTTATTTCTACCTGTTCTGATGTCTTTAGTTGATGTATTTAGTTGATTCGGACTTGAATACAAACATGATGTTGACATGAATTAACAAACTAATTGTCAGTTTTGAAAGCTGACCGAGGTAAATATAGTGAAATATGCCAGAAAGTGAATTTTGAAGGACATTTGAAGCGATTCTCACTATTTGAAAGGTGTTTAAATTACTCAAAAACATCTTTTTTACACTTCAAGTCTACCGATATCAACAGGTTTGTGCAGGTTTAAGGTCTGAGTTTAGCAGACATCATCACCTCTACGAGATGTCTTCACTGATATAGTGAAACCAACATGTTTGTGTGTGTGTGTGTGTGTGTGTGCATGTTTATGTGGTTTATGAGGACACAAATTTGTATAATAACATGGGTATGACATAGGTGTTACAACGAGAAGGTGATTTATGAGGACATTTTCAGTGTCCCCGTAATTCAAAAGGCTTATATATAATTCAGAATGAGTTTTTTTGAAAATCTAAAAATGCAGAAAGTTTCCTGTGAGGGGTAGGTTTAGGGGTAGGGTTGGTGTAGGGCAATAGAAAATACGGTTTGTGCAGTATAAAAACCATTACGCCCATGGAGAGTCCCGATAAACCATAAAAACAAACCTGTGTGTGTGTGTGTGTGAGTGTCTAACCATACAGTTATCTTCGGCTGTAAATTATGAACTATATACACACCCTGGTTTTGCGGGATGCCTCCTTGGTTGGGCCTAAACCATGGTGCCTCTCCCGAGTGAATTGATAGCTGTATAGGAGAGATGATGGTTGCAATTTAATGATCTGAAGTTGAGATATTACATGTTAGAAACAGTGTACCTTTGTAACGTAAAGAAGCTTTTCAAGATTAGATGTATTCACTAAATAGGACTACTCTGAACATTGAACAAATAAAATAAATAATCTCAGAATATAATCAGAATGATCTAACAGGATTATTCTACAGAGAAATCCCATCACTGGCAAAAAAAATATTCCAGAATTACAGATTTACATCACAGTTAACACTCTTTCATTTCTAATGCAAACTCAATACAATCATCTTTAAATTAGAGGTCATAAACTGACAGATTTATAACTAAAAAAAAAACGTATTAAAGACGAAACGTTACCTTTTTCAGGTTTAGTGGGCATCTCGACCTCTGCGAAGCCTGTAACGTTAGGCCTATTTGAATTATCTTTAATAAAAATCGCGATATTTGATCTTTATTTAAAGCGAGACTGATTTTAGGAGACCAAAGAAATATGTTCTTTGTCAAAACCCGCATTTGGGATGCACAAATGGCTTTCATTTTGGGCCATTGTAAGATTTATTAAATTAATAGGCTAACGTAAACATAAGCACGATTCCATACTTCATGGTAAGGGGCGATTTTTGAAAGAGACATACATTCTTTGTACCTACCTAGGAGTTTATACAGCCTACTCTTTTCAGTTGTTTATTTAAACGTTACAATGACAAAAAAAAGTAAGGTTTTTTTTTATTTAGTCTATTTATTTTCACCCGTAGCTACTCGCTGCGTTGGCATGAGGAGGTAACCATAGCAACGGAAGGTTAATACCATGGTGAAAAAAACAACAAATAAGTTAACTCTAGTGACTTTTCTTTGACACCTTAGGCCACATCCACACGAAGCAATAACTAACAAGACAAACAAAATAATAATTAGTAGGGGTGGGACAAAATATCTATATGGCGATATATCGTCGTCTTTCTCCGTGCGATACTTTACGAGAATCGATACACTGGTCCAAATATCGATATTTTAATTAATACAATAAAGGCGCTCTAAATAGATTTTCCTGTTCCCAGCGTCTGAAAAAATGCGCCTACAAAAACAGCTACAAAATCATCACAGTTTAGTTTATAGTATAATTCACGCACTGCTCGTTAGATCAATTATGTGTGGATAATTAAAAATAGTTTTGTGCAGCATAGTTTTTAACAACTGCAAAATGAACAGAAGTCTCGGTTTGCAACGTTTCCCTGCAAATAACTTAATTACTGGAATAATGCCATACAGTGAATGCTACATGCCTCAGTGTGTATATATATATAAAAAAATAATTATATATATATATATATATATAGATATATATAGAAACGACACAAGTCAAGTAAAGCGTGTGTGGAACTCAAACGCGCTTGTCGGTTTATAGTCGGACTATTTTTAATGTAACACCGAGAGTTTCACATGTGTTTACTAGTGGATGTTTTGCTCAATTCAAACACTGTATGTAAGTACATTTCACATTCTTTTGTCATTTCTTTTTTCATGTGTCAGTTTTCATTGATTGTTGTGCTTAGTGATGTCGTGATGCCACGGAAAACCGAGTCAGATAACAACTTAAGTGACTTAAAATACAGCTAAAGACTATCTGACCACTTACTGTAACGTTACATGTATGTGCAATTGTTTTTTTGCACCAAAAATTCATGCTACATAGCTAAACACGTTTACTTTCACTGACATGATTTGACATCTTGTTCATAACACTGCACATAACACTAAAGTCTGTCCCTGGTATTATGCTTCCTAAACGTTCAGATTTTACATTTTAATGCGTCCATTCTTTTATTTGGCAGATTTCAAGCTCTTCATGTGGTCTCCCCTCCACTAGACTGTCAGAATGAAGCAAACCGAGTCCACAAAAAGACTGAGAGAGCCTCTATTTGGAGGTGACCACTGTGAATGGAGCCGTGTCTCTTCCCCTGCACTCCTCTATTGTCCTCTTCCTCCTGTCCTTCACAGAGTGCTCATCTTTCCATGTCTACCTGGTTACAGATCAAGCAAGTATCCTGTCGCCCCTGTCAGGTCTAGTGCCCGGGGGTCTGGCTGTCTCTGAAGTGAGGAGGGACGAGCTGCCAGGACTGGTTAGGATGTGCCGTCTTCCGGCTGCGCTGGAGCCTGGCGCTTGCTTTTGCAGAGCCGGCCTAGCTGTCGTACTGAGACACATCATTCAGAGAGCATGCCAGCTGATGCCAGGCCGCAGGGATGTGGCGTCACTCTTGGGCTTCAAGAATACCTGTCTCAAGGCTTGTGCTGAGGTGAGATTACAGGTTAAAAACAACCAGAGGATAAGTGCTTAAAATCCCGATGAGTAGTCAAAAGTTTGAACTAATAGTGTAGCTGTAGGGTGACAAGCATGCTGACATGTTTTGACAGGCACAATCACTTTTTGGAGTTCAGCATCACAGAATCACACATTCACATGTTGACATTTGAGCTCAGCGTTTGCAGATAGTAGCTATAAGGCATTAACAGAGCAAAAACAAACTTGGGTTGCTCTCCTATTTGTTTTTTCGCTGTTTTTAGAGCCTTGGACTGTCAGTGGGACAGGTGTGATGTCTCAAGACACCTATTTCAGTCATGTCTGTCGGATATATCAGAAAATACCTTAAGGCAATTTTTATAAGTGTGTTTTCCATTTTTGGGAAGTTGTGTGTCATCAGCCTATGACAAATTCAGATATATGCCACGGATCATTTGGACAACAAATAAGAACCAGATAAACAAATATGGAGTTTTTGTGTCTTTAAGGGAATGCAGTGTTGTTAAATAAAACTATTATTGATTTTGGTAATTCAAATTAAATCAGCGAAAATAAATAAAATATAAATATCAGATGGATAAAAACGTAAACCTAAGAAACTTAAAATGAAAATTTAAAATGTTTCCTTGGCAAACTCTAAAACCCAAATAAATGAAAGGTAAATATTTAAGAAAAAAAACGCATAAAAATACCAAAAAAAATCTACAAAAATAAAGAAAAAAATTCATTATTGATATTAAGAAATACTTCTTGAGCACTAAATCAGCATATCTGATTTCTGAAGGATCATGTGACACTGAAGACTGGAGTAATGATGCTGAAAATTCAGTTTTGCATCACAGAAATAAATTACATTTTAAAATATAATTAAATAGAAGTTAGTTATTTTAATTTGTAATAATATTTCACAATATTACTGTTTTTACTGTATTTTTTATCAAATAAATGCAGCCTTGGTGAGCCTAGGAGACTTCTTTTAAAAGACCAGTCTAAATTAAAATTAAAATGGGAAAAATATAGGAAAAAGTATAAAAAAGCTCATTCAAAATATTTATAAATACTATAATAGTATGTAAATAATGCTAAAATAACACTGGTTTACTGTAGAGATGAACAATATATGTGCACCATATTCATTATTGGCCAATATTTACATCTGCCGTTATTGCATATTTAACTGTTTCTGCTTGTTTTAAGATTAATATTAATTATCCACCTCTAATTTAAAGGGATAGTTATCAATTATGGCAGAAATGTAATCCTTTTTATGTGCTTTATTTAAATTAGTTAACAAAATGGTATCAGTTTGTAACATCAGACATTGATCAGTTATTGACCAGTTATGTAAGTAATGATCAGATTTTCAGTATAAGCCTCAATTTTAATATCAGTACATTGGTAGTTTGCTTAATTATATGAAACTCTGGAAATTTACAAAAAGGCATGCCACAGTATCCATTCGTATAATGCATGGGTCGTACATCACATTTATCGGTTATCAAAAGATTTCTAACCGTCTTTGCTTCTCAGGTGAGTCAGTGGACTAGACCGTGTGAGCTGGACATTCACTCTACAGTGGACCGACACTTACAAAACCCTGAAGACCAGATGTGTCGACTTCCTGCTGCGATCCTGAACTTAGAAAAGAGGTTAGGGGAACCCGTCAAGGTCCACAATGATGACAAGATACGCCGACAGAAGCTACAACAGCAGAAGAAGGGCGATTCTCAACTAAAAGGCCCTAATACAGAGGCAGAGAGTCATCCGAATGAATCACATTCAGGTGTTGAGCTCACTGCTGCTCTGGAGAAGCTCTCTGCAGATGCAGTTCCTGCTCCCTCAACCAGGGAGCGCTCTGACATCAGGAAAGTCAAGACCACAGATTTACCAGAGCTGGAGCATGTGTTTGCAGAAGGGCTCTATTTCACTCTCACTGATGTCGTCCTGCTGCCCTGCGTCCATCAATACCTGGTAAAACAAACAAATCGAAAGCAGTTTTTATCTCATTACTTATAAATCACAATTCCTCACAAAGAGAGCCAGTCATTCATTCATTTTAGCAGTAGGCTCACAGGTGCTTTCAAGTTATATCAAACACAGACGTCTCTTGTGCCTCTTTGACTTCTCCTACTTCAAGGTGATTCTCTCAGTCCTGCATTAAATAAGGCCGGTAGTTTCTGTTGCAATTGAAATGGATCAGTGTTGCATGGGACGGTGAATTAGATTCTTTGCGCTGCAATGTCCCTGATCCCTTTTTTCTTGTGCAACATAAAAACTAATAGTACACCCGTTTTTGGACATTTACCATGTTATATTCTGTATGTATGTCTTTATAAACATTAATATACGTTATATAATAAAATATTGTTACAAGTGGCTTTTATTTTAAAGAAAGATATTAAAAGCAGTTGATTTAGTGTTTCAATTGGATCGGGGCTACTATATATCAAAAGGCCTTGGTATTACCATGTGATAATGTTGCTTTATCATGATACTGCCAATATACTCTTTAAGGGCTGTGTTTACCCCTGTAACGTTGTACTAGTTTGTGGGTTTCCCACCAATTTTACAACTTTGTAAGGCAGTACTATATACAATATTGTTGTTTCTTTATGATGAGTCACTTGCTGTAGTCACAGACCCCCATGTTTCCTCACCTTTCCAGATAATAATGCACTCATAAGGCTGTATTTCATGGAAAGCTCAGCTTGTGACAGCATTACTGTGTCCTGATGAGTGCTCTCTTTTTCCCAGGAGGAACCGTTGATTCAGTCCATAACCTCCTGTGCAGTCTTCTGCCTGCTTATTCAATTTCCCACCACTTCCATAGCAGACCTGCTGATTTACCTAGCATCTAAATGGCCCACAAACTCCAACAACACTTCATCGGTGCAGAAATCTGCCCATAATGAGTAGAGAGCCCACAATGGTCTCATACACTTCTGCTGTACGACTCCCACAGGAGAGGCAAACAGAGTAACAACGCTGGGTCTCTTTTCTGTCTGCCCCGGACCACAGTGCTGCAGTCGTGTCCCCAGCAGGTGATAAAAACACATGCTGCCGTCGAGTTTTCAGGCCTGCTGCAGAACTTCTCTTCCAGCTTTTCTTGTGTGTGTGTTTGGTGTTTGCCACCTCTGGCATTTAGCAACTATAAATCAGATATTTCCCGTCACGCTAGTGGATATCAATTTGGTGTGTGTGAATGAGTCGGAGCTCAGCAGGCTCTCTTAATGCATAGCAGTCCACTGGGATTTTCCAGGCTGCGTGCTTTCTGCTTTAGGTCTGCTCTGCAGCTGTTGCTGGTGGCTCATTGCTTTAGAGCAAATGACATTTTCATCGGCGGAGCCAAACCTTATGGCCAGCCTGTGTTTGTAATGACAGAGCAGCAAACAGAGATGCACCATCACTAGCTACTGTTTAACAACCAGATCCAGACCTATTCTAAATCAATAACCAAGAGCGTCTCACAAGCTCCAAGATTTAATACGGTTTGTGAATTTAGGTGTGGCTAAAGGGTGTCGTTAGGCATGAAACGCAGCAGATTAGCTATATTTGCGTATTATATTGTGCATTTTAGCATGTCTGGAATGTTGTGGTGGCCAATCAGAACCTGGGACTGGAGCTCTCCATTTTATTATCGTGTTTTGGGACCGTCTGGACTGATTTTTAATCATTTGCAGGATAAAAATGTGCCTACATTGCAAGAAGAGAAATAAATTATTTTTTAAATAAATTATATAAAAGATAATGTGATATTCAGGGGTATTAGAAAGCAGTCCATTATTAGTCTGGGTTTTTTTTTTTGTACATTGCTTTTTTTGTGTGTTTTCACTTTATTGATTGTATAATTCTTATGACCATACATCCTTAGGGGGGTGCAACTGGAGCGGTCACACTGGGCCTGCGCTTGAGGGGGCCCCGCAGCCAACGGACCGAGGGGTGATTTTTGCAAATTTGTGAAATTTAAATGCCCCCTCAACTGAGGTGCCCTGGCGCCGGCCCTGGACTAGGCTTAAGTCTTGTCTGTGAAACCAGGGGATAGACTGTCTTTTTCTTTAGTCGTCTTTTACATCCTTTTTTTTTTTTTTTAACCTGAATGGTTGAACTATTCGTATAATTACTTATTGTATGTATGTTTTATCAAACAAAACATTTCCTAGAGGTTTTAACACCAATCTCACTCTGTCGTCACCCCGTTCCACATGAGTTTGTTTGGTAGTTCAGGTTAATTTCATTCTAAACAGGTCACCAAGTTCGTCTTGCCAGACTGGTGAAAATTTGTCATTGAGACTAAAAAAAGTACCCTATAGAGTCCCCCAACACAACACCATATATTTACTTCTGTGTCTGTAGCATTGCATGTATTAGTATTTGATTTACATCTCATATTCTCAATGTGGAATAATCATCATAGCACACATTTTTTACCCATTCCTGTAGGTCTCTTTGATGATTAAGTACCAACTAGGAAACATGTAAAATCAATTATAGGACTTCAACCTTTAAAGGAGTTTCTAAAGTGGGATGAACTGCTCCGTAACAGGTTCCTGATTTAATTACCACCTTGTCTCAGGTGTTCTGAGGAAGTGTGAAAAGTGCTCAGCTTCAGTAAAAAGCTGTTGCCTGGAGGCTTCTGTCGGTAGTCTATGGTTTAACCTGTGTTTATATGTTCTTTTGTCCTGCAGGAGAATGGGATAGATGCTGTTTGTGCTGCTCACCCTTGCCCTTCATGGACAGTTGATTGGGAGAGCCTACCGGCAGCTGTCAACCCCTCTGAAGGTAACCTTGGGTGTATTTTCCACACAAGTGCAACACAACCCTTCACTCTTAACATGCCAGTTGTGATGAGCATCTTTTTGATTCATATATAATATTGAAATATTTGTATAGAACTACATTGGTAGTCATGAAGCCGATGCATTTAAACAAAACAAGGTTTTATTGACACAGAGGCATTTTCCCCCTTTTTTTCCCCTCATTTATTCCTAGGATGTTGAGAATTGTTTTCCCGCTCCTTTTTTTTAGCATTTGAAATTGTAATCCACTCTGCTTGACAGGTAATATACTTGTCAAAGAAATAACAGTATTGCTGCGCTTCCTTGGTTTCCTTGATTTCATTTTCAACTGTTGCTGCTTCACACAGTGCCTACAAAGGAACTGGCTTTGATATGATTTCAACAATTGATGTAGTGACAGATTTAATGTCTAGGATTGATGGGCATAGAATAAGTAATCTAAAACAGTTTTGGAGCATTTTTGTCTCCTACATCTATGCATTGCTTTGACTTTTTGAAAGTAAATTATTGCCATACCTGTAGAAATGTGTTTCTGAGCGGAGAATATTCATGCCTATCCTGTGTCATGTGCTCTGGGGTCTTAACTAGCTCGAACAGCAGGCAGTTTTTTCACCAGGAATGAGTGAGATGCCAATCACCTCGCACAGACCATCAAGTGAGCTCTGTGGAGAGACAGAAATCCAGTTCGTTTAAAGAGTCTGGGAACAATCCTCATCGACCCACGCCACTGAGAGCATAATTTACTTGAGTCAAAAGACTACATACAATTCTGGTTGGTAAGAAAGAAACAAAAAAAATTCCTAATTGTCTACTTTTTGAGGGAAGATTTTGAAAATAAATACCAATCTCAAATATGTATGGAGGGTAGGGCATCTTTTCCAGTGTTATTATCATTAAGTAAAACTAAAATAAAAACTAAGACTAAAATGTATTATAAAGAAGAAAATGTAACTTAAAATAAATGTTAACTTAAATAAAACATTAAAAAAAAAAAACTTCTACTTTTTTTTAAATTTCGGCTAGGTGCCAATCCATCATGTCTCATTTTCTTTTTTCTTTTTTAACTTTGAAGTAATAAAATAACTAAAATGCAAATAAAAATGAATAGAAGGACTATATAGGCACATTAAAAATATATTAATAAAAATGACAAAAACATACAGCACTATTACTAAAACTTTATCTACTTAACATCTAATTAAAATATATAATAGTACATCAGTGATACTAAAGTAAAAATGATCCTCGCTTCTTGTTTTTTTTCCCCCCTGCATATTAAAGAAATAAATCACCCAAAAATGAAAAAAACTGTATGGCTTCCTTTTTTCATCCTCATAGACCACAAAAGGAGTTATTTATTGCAGATTTCCTAAGCTGCTTTTTTCCATGTATAGAATGTTAATGGTGACCACAGCTAATAAACAAGATTATACTTACATTTTGGTCTGCTCCTTTCACAAAGCTATCATATGCCTTCAGTTGACTTGCAATATAGTGCATGACATATATGGAGTACTGATGTTTTTTTTCCTTTTTGGTGTTTGACAGCCCCAAAATTGCGTTGCATAGAAGATGGCAGCATGAACCTTCTTCTCTTTTTGTTTTCCATGAGTAAATGGAAATACAGGTTTGGGAATGGTTTAATTAGCGGTTTCTGAGTCCCTTGCCCATATGACTTATTCAGTATTGTACTGTAAGTCCAAAGTAACAGCTGTTTCCTGCCAGGGTCGAAGGAGAGTTTCATGATTTTTACTTTCTCTCAAAATAATAATTGAATATCTTCAACTTGCATTCTGAGACTGCTTATAATTTGAGGCTTTTAGGAGATTTTCCCCCCTCTGTTTAGTGCAGTCTGTATAGTGAACTTCTATTGCTTTGTTCACATTTGCACCAAAGTCTATTTTCTGAGATGAACTCCTGAAAGAGTATGATTGTCTGCAATGTGCTGAGAAGAACAAATTCCCTGGACATTGTGATGGTCCATAAGTCATGTTTCCTCTGCTGCTGATTTTCTAGTGTTTTAATGCAGGGCACTTCAGAGAAAACAGTTCTGAGAACAAGACACGCTCTGAACATAGGCACTTAGGTGAACCCCCACATGCGAAAGTATGTTGCTTTTATTTGGTACCATCTTTTCCTTTACTATAGTAGCTCTGTCTGTCAGCACATGCCCACACATTCCTCCCTCTAATGTCTTTTCAAGTTCTGAATTCATAGAGTCTGCATAGTTGGAGAAAGTGTATCAGCAGTCTGCCTGTGCCGCCCAGAGCTTGGACTCTTGATTTGTTGTATCTTAACTTTAAAACCAGATTACTCAAGCAAACATTTAGATGTGCAGTCAGCAGATCCTGCCTTCCCACACAAAGGAAAACATAGTCTCCTGATGTTTAAGTGCTAGTCAGTAGAGTTCCTGACTAGAAGATGGTGTAGGAGTGCCTCAAGGCACCGTTTTGGGCCCCTTCCCATTGTCGGACTAAACATCATCTTTACATGATTTTCCCACTATGTGTGTGATGATGACAACCCCATGTTCTCATTAAACATTTAGAGTGTCCTCTGGGACATTTTCTACTTCTCTTGTAATATTTTTACCCGCAATTAGTTGTTTCAGGGTGTATTAGTTTCAATGTCTGCGTCATTGGATAAGATGTTGGTACGTGGGCACATCTATAGAGGAGCTGTCGTATGGACAAGATTACAGAGTCCTGTTTCATTTGAGAGATTGGCTTCAGCACTGGAGTTTTTGTAAATTTGGCATGCTCCGTTCCCGAAAAGGCAGCAAATGAATTTTATTTATTGACAGTTTTCTTTGGGAGCCATTTTAGCTAAATATTTAGACGTTTGTGAGACTACCGCAACTACCACCCACATTTTGCAAACCACCTCCATAGTGCTGATAAATATTGTTTTAAATTGAGGGCAGTCTGTGGGAGGATTGCATCGCCAGGGTGTCTATTATGCAGTTTGTTGAGAGCAGGAGAGAGAACTAGTCGCTGTCACCACTACAGAGCAGAGAGAAGCCCCGGGGGCCACCTGGGAAACGTGGTTGGCTGTGGTGCCTTGAATGTAAATTAATTTCCACTGTCGACAAGTGGCCCTGTTGAGCTGAATGAAGGTGCAAAGTCTTCTGAAGAGAATGAAGGGTTGTACAAATCACGTTGGATTTTCTTTTCGCACTGCCTAATGGCTCTTCTGCCTGGCTTTTGTGATTCACTAATAAACCGAATCTCTGTCTGACAGCAGTATGTCTGGAGATGGGTCTCCTTTTTCTAGCTCGCCGTCTCTCTTCTCCTTCTCAATGTCTTCGAAAGAATGAGAAGCGCACGTCCATCAAAACCAAGGAGGTCCATAATAGCTGGTGAAAGCTGGCGTTGGACCCATTGAAGTATGTGATGTGACCTTTCCAAGCAACTATCCTTCATTTTCAGAACCTTTAAAAACTAATTGGGCACTTGAAAACATCTACTGTAATGCAAGGAATGGTATATATGTTGCTTGCTAAAATCATGCTAACCTGATCTCTTGATCGTACCACATTCCTGTGCTGCTTTATTGCTTATTTACACTGTAAAAAAAATCGTAAAAAAATGGTCAAATCACTGGCAGCTACGGCTGCCAAACAAAAACCATAAAATTACAGTAAAAAATATCTTTATTCAAATAAAGTGCAAAAACAATCATTTTACAGACATTTTCGTTAAAGGTTTTACAGAAAAACACTGTTATTTTACAGAGTTTTCCTTGTTTGAAGTAAGATACTTTAATTTTACGGTTTTTGTCTGCCAGTCATTTGACCGTTTTATTATTATGCTTTTTTACAGTTTAAAACTGCTATTTTATGGATTTTTCCTTGTTTGAATTACGATATTTTACTTAAATTTTATGGTTTTGGTTTGGCAGCCGCTGCTGCCAGTGATTTGAAAGTTTTTTTACGAGATTTTTTTACAGTGTAAAACCGTTATTTTACAGATTTTTCCTGGACGATTACAATGACAGCACTAAATGTTCTACAGAGAAACACTGTTATTTTGCAAATTATTACAATCAAAAACCTTCAATAAAGTGTCAAAGCATGTTCAAGATTGTAAATTGACATTTTTATTTTATACATTTGAAATGAAATGCATTTAAAATACTGTACTGATGAACATAGAACATTTTCATCAAAATTTTATAAAATGTTGTATTAAATACTCTCAACTTAAAACTGAAGAAATCCGATTGATGAAGAAATCTACAAGATTGTTTCACTCCACTATTGATTCTAAAACAATTTTATTATTCAGATGTAAATTTACATTAACAATTAGTTCTACATAAACAGTTCTTCAGAAAAATTGCGTTTCTATCTTATCAGTTAGGGTTACTCTTATGATGAGGTCATGATTTTACCTTTGCATTGGGTGGTGAATTTTTTTTTTACTGTTTGCTTATAGCTTTGTATCTTGTATTTTCCAAATCAGTTTTATATTGTAATCCACAATATTCTACTGACTCCTGCGGGCTCCACATAGCTTTGATAATATATGTAGACAAACATTACATTGTATTTTAATTCTGAATCCTAGTTATATAAGTGTAATATGTAAAATCAAAACATACAACAAAGACCAGAAGTGACAGACACCGCAGATAAAGAGCAGTCCTCCTCCAAATTGTCAGTAATCAGCTGGATCCTTGGTGCAACTGGGGGTGTAAAAAAAAAAAAAAAAAGGTTATGCCACAAGACAGCTGTTTTGTCTGGTATGAAAACAAATTAAGAGCATGGAAGAAAAATTGTGTGATTATTCCATTAAAAATAATGTTAGTATGTCTTAATGTTCGTATAGCATGAATACTCACTTCCTCTGAAGATCATGTAGCAGAAGATTTTCATTCCTAAAACTTCTGGATCATGAGGGGGAAGCACACACACACACACACACACACACACACATAATATTAATTTGTTTAATAAAACAATACTAACTATCGACTTAATGA